GAGTAATGATGCTGAAAATTCAGCTTTTCCATCACAGGAATAAATAACATTTTAAAATATATTTAAATATATTCAAACAATTATTTTAAATAACAAAAATTCACTATATTACGGTTTTGCTGTATTTTTTTATTAAATAAATGCAGCATTGGTGAGCAAAAGAGACTTCTTTCAAAAACATTAAAAAAAAAAAAAGTCTTACCCCAAATCCCAAACAAGCTACCACTTTTAGGCCATGTGTCCACCAAAGCCTTGTTTCCCGAAGCTAGCAAATTTTTTAAATGGGAGCACTGCGTTTTTTTTAAATGCCAGGAGCGTGCCGTGCACTCAGTGTCTTTTTCATGCTGAGCGCTTGGTCGTTTTTTCTTGGCGAGTTGAAGAATGTTCAATTTTGGGTAAAATGCAGCACTTATCACTATCACTTTTTAGTCAGCTAACCAATCACAGCGGAGAAGGGGTGGGACTAATACCGACCAAGCCTCACACCCTGCTTGTACTACGACAGAACAACAATGGAGAATATTGCTTGTCTCCGAGTATTTATGTCTTTACCAGATGGAATAGCCAGACTACCATAATATTGTTAAAAAAAAGTAATGCTTGGAGAAACATTTCATTCTCGATGCATCTGCCATATTACTTCAGCAGATATTCCATATCATAGCAACCACAGCGTCTCAACTGAAAAAAACGCTGCGCTCTCAAGCGCTCACAGCTGGGCGTTTTCAAATGGCTAAAAATGCTTTGGTGGGTACGCGGCCTTAGTGTGCTTTTGTGTTTTTTTACAGTGGGTTGCATGAGAAATTATAACCTAATTAATCTGAGAAAACAGGTGTCTGTGTAAAAAGATGGGAGAAACTGTAAATGTCAACTTACATTATCGAAGAGGCTGCTTAATTTGATCTGTTTTTACCACAGCATGTACAAAAACCAAGACAAAACCCTTCCAGATATCCAGCTTTGAAGAGCATCTCAGACAACCGGCTTGTGCGACCAGCATTAAACGTGATCCAGCTACTCAACAGTGGTGCTGAAAACCCTGCAACACCCCCAGTAGCTAAAGTGAAAAACCCTGTCTCTCACTTTACAGGTACAGAACTGTTTTCCAAACTCAGGCAAAACTGTTATACAGCCTAGAATATGGATGTAATCTTTGTTAGAAAATGGAGAACTTTGTGTGATTCATCTGTTGCCACAATTGAGTTTTTCCATTTTTTTATATGGGTGCCAAAATCAGTGTGTGCCGCTTTCATGCTGTAGATCTGTGAAACAGGCCTAAAAATGATTTTTTCAATATGAATTTAGGTGAAGTGCAGTTTGAGAAGTTAGAGATCAGGGGAACACCACCCAGCACCATCCATCAAAAACACTCAGATGTCAAACGAGGACAGACAGCCTACAAACGACAGCAAGGTATTTTTTTTCTTGCTATTTAGCAACATTGTTTTGTTTTTAATTGTGAAATTAGTTGGCAGGATGTGAAGTTTTGTAGTCCAACCCAAGTTAACAAAAATGTTTTTAGGCCTAGGAGATGTTTCTTACTCCAGCAATCTCCTACAGCAACCAGGCAATTACAAGAAGTCCACCAATGAAAATCCTAGACAAAAAGGAATGGCCGATGTCAACAGAAAGAATGAAGGACGGCAAAAAAACAAACATACTGTAAAAAAGTCATATGTCTGAGTTTTTCGTTCACATACAAAAGAACATATCTATTTTTGCACTAAAATATACAGCTGAGACTATGTTATGCAAGTTATTTGTCTCTGCTTTGAAACTGACAATACATAAAAAAATGTTGATGAATCTTTCGAAGCAAATTTATTTGAAATGAAAGCATAGAAATGTATATAAACATATGCTTGGAAGTAAAGCATGTTTCAGAATAGCTTAATTTTTCTCTAAATGTACTGAGTAAACTTCTCAAAACGGATGAAATGATTATGGCTTCATTTATTTAATAAAAAATAAAATAATTATATAAAAATGTCAAGTGTCAAAGTCCATATTGGTTTCTCCCAGGGAGATTAATAACTGCTGTGAATAACTTTGGATAAAAGCCAACCAAACTGACAAGGGCACAAACTGATCCCTGATCAACCTTAGTGAAACTAAGTGTGTCTGGTGTTGAACAACATCAGGTTACATCGCTGTTTAAATTCACATACCGTAATTTTTTTTCTTTCTTTTTTGAAAAATTATCAAAAGCCCGATTCACACCGGTATAAGCTTGTAATAACGTTCGGGTCGTTCGTCTTTGCGTCATTATGTCATGTCTGTATACATAAAGCAGGACTCCCGGTTAGTAGGCTATTTAAAAAAACGCTGCGCTCTCAAGCGCTCACAGCTGGGCGTTTTCAAATGGCTAAAAATGCTTTGGTGGGTACGCGGCCTTAGTGTGCTTTTGTGTTTTTTTACAGTGGGTTGCATGAGAAATTATAACCTAATTAATCTGAGAAAACAGGTGTCTGTGTAAAAAGATGGGGGAAACTGTAAATGTCAACTTAGATTATCGAAGAGGCTGCTTAATTTGATCTGTTTTTACCACAGCACGTACAAAAACCAAGACAAAACCCTTCCAGATATCCAGCTTTGAAGAGCATCTCAGACAACCGGCTTGTGCGACCAGCATTAAACGTGATCCAGCTACTCAACAGTGGTGCTGGAAACCCTGCAACACCCCCAGTAGCTAAAGTGAAAAACCCTGTCTCTCACTTTACAGGTACAGAACTGTTTTCCAAACTCAGGCAAAACTGTTATACAGCCTAGAATATGGATTCTTTTTTGAAAAATTATCAAAAGCCCGATTCACACCGGTATAAGCTTGTAATAACGTTCGGGTCGTTCGTCTTTGCGTCATTATGTCATGTCTGTATACATAAAGAAGGACTCCCGGTTAGTAGGCTATTTCGCGTGTGTGGATGCTGCAGGTGACGGATCATTTTTAGCCTCTTCTTACAGCAGCTGGAATAATTAAACTTGTCATTTTGAGAATAAAGAGTCTTAAACGGTGCATGATAGTAATGAAACGCATGTAAGTGACTGAAATTAGATTATATTCCAGTTGTAAATGTTCATCTGATTACAGATACGTGGGATTAGGCCTACTGTACTTACAAAAGATTTGTATTTCAAAGAGAACGAGTTCTAAGGAACATTAAATTGATTTTTGAGGTTAAAAGAACAATTTCTTTCGATGGCATTCAAATGGTATGGCAATTAGAGATTTGACTGTACAGAAATTGAAATCTACAGGTAATCACGCAATGTTGATGTTAACAATTTGAGAATAAAGTATAACAATAATCATTTGCACGGTTTGACGTGATCTGAACTAAAGTTTGCAGTCGTTAAGATTTAATCACCATTGGTAACAGTGCGATTTATTGTAAAACTTTTTTATTTTTTCAGTTGGTCAGAACAAAACTGGCAGACATGTTACTTACTTGTTCAGATGACATTTTTCAGTGGGACTTCTTATTTTGGACATACTTCCAAGACGTAGCCTATCTGTAATTCCGAAGTACAGCGAATATCCACACTGGTGCGCTCACTAACAGCCCACACACACCTACACCGCAAAACATTAGATTAATCCGCACTGAGGAGCCGTGCCGATGCACAACCACATAAAGAAGATAATTCCGCAAATAACTGCAATTGCAGGTTTCAAACAGAGATGGCGACAAAGAGGCAAAACTTACGGACTGCAGCTTTAATGATGTATCAGTACAACTATTTGATAAATAATCTACATTTTTATATTGCATTGGAATAGATGATAACTGTATCAGTATACCACAGCATGATGCTGTTATCTAAACCTTATACCAATACCACGCCATGTTATTCTGTACCACCACCTCAAGTGAACAGATCCCCTGAACGATGCATTCTCATATGAAAGTTAAGTTAAATCAAATAGATGTAGCGTTATTTAATAAGCACTTATATTATAGCCTATTAATACAACCACAATAATGTAACCGTATCAGAATTGAGATACAAAAAGATATTTAAAAAATAAATAACTTGGAGAAATTATGAAAATAAAGAAATTGTAAATAAAAGAAAATGAAAATCACATTTTTTAATCTAAATTGACTCCCATTTAATTTAAAGTAATAAAAAATAAATAAATAAAAGTTGATGAATAAGAGTAATCTCTGTGTGTAGATGTGTCTCCCTTTTCCTTCACATACTGTAAAAACAATCCCTCTGAGATCCGGCGAGAAGCCACTCGATCTCAGGGTTCAGTTATTTGTAACAGAGTACACGATTGAACCCTTGAATTTTATTTTGAAATAAAATAACTCTTTAAGAGTTATTTTGTGACAGTGCTGTTGGTGGTAAAATATTTTGTCATTCTGAAGTCGACACTGTAAGCTGCTCCGTTTATTTTCAGCTGTGGTTTCCTGTTGTAGTAGAGAGCTTGAACCTTCTGGAATAACAGCATATTATTTAGTTCTGGCTGAAAGGCGGAGCGTTTTTCTCCTGTTTTCACACCCTACTGTGAGTTTACATATGTAACTTCAAGCATTCCTACCCCCTTAATATTTTGCATGTGGAACATTCTGAAATGTTTAGGACAAGAAGACAAGATGTAGGTGAGTGATGGATCATATTTTAAATTTTTTTTCATATTTAGTAGATTTTGAATTTAAACTTGTATATTTCCTTGTTTTTGTGTTTTTCTCCAAAATTCTCAACTTGACTCATTCCAGTGATGATAATGTTACAAGTTTCTAGTTTCTGTTTCCAGTGAAAATGCTGAGACAGCTTCAGTTTTTCCTTCTGTTGGGAACATTATTTATCATATTCTTCATAATAGTTCACTGGGATGACATGAAAGATGGGACTTTTTATTTGCACGTGGCTTCATCATCTCCTGCATTACCCACAAGCATGAAGTCCTCAGGACGCTGGACAAGTGAGGATTCATTTCTCTGGAAAGAGTCAAGCAGGTCAGTCAAACCAAAACTGACAATCATCAAAACTCACCTAAAATATGATCAAGGCCCAAACAACCTAACGTACACATTCACACAGTCTTCTCCAACACACCTCGAACTGCGTCAAGCACATCGTAGGCGTATAATAAGAGAACTTTGCTCAGCCAATAGCAGCTTCAACTTCCCAGGAAAATTTAAAACCTTTGACCAGATTCCAAGCAAAGCTCTGGGCCATCTCATTGTGGATGATCGTCATGGTGTTATTTACTGTTTTGTACCGAAGGTAGCATGTACCAACTGCAAAGGCATCATGATTGTGCTTAGCCAGAACCTGAAGGCACCTGATGAAGCTCCATATCTGGATCCTCTTGACATACCATCAGTTATCCCACAATGCTACTCTGCATCTGACATTTAACAAGTTTTGGAGACGGTTTGGACGTTACGTCAATTGATGCATCACAAACTGAAGAATTACACTAAGTTCCTTTTTATACGGGATCCTTTTGTACGACTTATATCTGCTTTCCGGAACAAGTTTGCTCTGCCTAATGAGGATTTCTACATACAGTTTGTCTCTTCAAGAAGCCTTTGACGCAGGTATCAGATTGTCCTTTACTCACTTTATTAAGTACCTGTTAGATCCACAGACTGAAAAGGAGAAGCATTTTAATGAGCATTGGCAGCAGATATACAGACTCTGCCATCCGTGCCAAATTGAGTATGACTTTGTTGGGAAACTGGAAACACTTGATGAGGATACAGAACATTTGTTGAAGATTCTTGGGATGGAAAATCAGATTTGCTTTCCCCCAGGGTACCGCAACAGGACAGCTGCGAACTGGGAGCGAGACTGGTTTGCAAACATTTCAGTAGCTGACAGGAGAAAACTGTACAATCTTTATGAAGCAGACTTTCGATTATTTGGATACGGAAAACCTTGAGACACTTCTGCATGAGTGACAGACAGAGACAGTTGTTCTTTAAAAGAGATTATATGCATATAATGTAAAATAAAAGTAGGCTGTACAGATGTTTGGTACCTAAACATTTTATAATTTATTTGACTAAAACCAGTGTTGACCAGTGTTGCCCTCATAGAAATTTTAGTCATTTTTCCTTGATTAATGGGTCGTATTAAACACTGTTAGACAGTATAGATAGTATATTACATGTTGTAAATTCAGTGAAATTATAAATTAAATGAACTGAATTAATGAAACTGAATTTTCTAAACTGGTTGGAATAGACCGTAGTCAGGGTAGTGCCATATTTAATTTTTGACAGAACAATGGCACACACTGTAAAAAGGTCCTAGATCATGTAATTTTCTTTTACTTACATCATTTTATGGAGTTTTTTTGTTTGTTTTTTTCTACTTTTTGGAAAGACTTTTTATAAGCTGAACAATCGTTAAAACAGTACAACAGTTCTACTATTATCCCTCACAGCCTCGTTTTTGTAAAAAAAAAAAAAAAAATTCAATGTGGTACTCTAAGGTCTACCGAGCAAACCAGAGCATTGATTTGTTTTGGCCACAGGGGTGCAGTGTGTTTCAATTGATTTGTTGCAGACAGTGCAATATACTATAGCCATGTGAGGAGCACTCAGATGAAGTTCTGAAATTTGACAGAATTTATGAATCTTTAATGCTGGGGGGTGGGTAGCAAATGTAGAATTTATGAAATTAGGCATATTTTGAGACTAAGGCCAAGTGGAATATGCGAAGTACAGGTTCCTATTTTTATTTGAAACAAAACATCAGAGCTAAAGTAGGGAGAAGATTAAATAATTGGAGACAGTTACATTTCACATGATCTGAAAG